GTTTTCCCGACTGTATATCAAAAGGTCAAATAAAAAGATCTCTAAGCCTCCTTTGGAGCTCTAAGGTTCTGCAGGTTTTTGGTAATGTGCTTTTTGCCTTGGGGCTTGCCTGGGGATTTGAGAGCAAAAAACACACGACTCAGGTTTCTCATTAGGCTCCTAACGCAAGATAGATTTCCTTATCCTGTCTCTACCTAAAGCTCAGGGTTTCCGAATCAGCAGCCCTTGGATTGAGACTCCTCACGCCAACACCCGACACTCACTCTATAGCTGGAAACCCCCGGTGGTTAGGGCAGCGGCCCCGAAAGTGGGAACTACATCTCCCAGGGTGCCCCGGGGCGTGAGAACTACTTGTCCCAGCGTGCCCCAGGACGAGGGCGGCCGCCAGGATTGGCTGGGGGTCGCAGACGTGCAGTGTTTTGGCTGGGACGGTCACGTGTTTGCTTTGTTGCGAGCAGCGGCAGAGACTGGTGGCTTGAGGAAACGCCGGCGCTGTAGGGTGCGCTGCGCCGCCAGCCACTGAGGGACTGTGGGGGCCACCGCCACTGGCCGCTTTCAGCCTTCACCTAGAGGTACCGGGGGATGACAGCTCCGGGACCGGCCGAAAGGCGAGGAACCGGCCAGACTGGGGACCCCAGGCGCGGAGGGACGGCCGAGGGGACCCGGGGTGTCCGCGAGAGGGAAGCCAGCGGTTGCCGGCCTCTCGGAGAAAGACCAGGGGTCTGAGGAGAGCTTGCGGCTGGCGCTGCAGGCCCTTCTGAGGCGAGGGTTTCCGGCCTGAGCTGTGGTGTCCAGCCCCGGCTCGGGGGCGATCGTCCTGTAGGGAAGGCACCCCCGGCTCCTGGCACTAGCGCTCCAGAGCCGCGAGGGAGGGCCGCCGGGGCCGGGGGTGGCAGGTTAGGGTCCCCCCGCCGCCTCGGGAACCGGGGCGCCTTGGGGAGGGCCTGGGGAGTCTGGTAGCCCTCGGGTCTTGTCTGTTGCAGATGGGCTTGGAGCGGGTGCTGTTTTTTGTTTTGTTTTTCTTTAATCTACGAAAGCCCTGGATGCGAAGGTTTCGGGGGGCGGCCGTTGGTCCTGCTGGGGAGGACTGACCGGGTCCAGGTGGGGTCCCCAGGGCTACGGGCCCGAGAAACCCCGTTCGGGCGATTGCGAAATGCGCCGGGCACCGTCACCTGACCGTTACCCCCGCCCTCCGCGAGCCTTTGTTTACCACGGAGCACGACGGAGCCCGCGCCGGGAAGCGGGCCCTGGAGCGACCGTCCCCCGGGAGCTGGGGCGGGCCCGGCAGCGGGCGTGCCGCCGGCGGAGTCCCGCCTCACGTCCCCACCGGCCCGCCACTCCGGGGCTCGGTTTCTTAATTTTTACTTCCTAACGGGCCCGGCTCCGAGTCCTGGAATGTTAGCGCGGCCGGGATTGGGCGCCTGCGCGGCTCGTGGGCGGGACGACGGGGCGAGTTGCGCGTTTTTATTGGCAGATGTCGTGTCACTAGGTGGATCTGCCCCGGCAGCTTTTCCCCGCCCCCATGAAGGTGATCTGGAGGACGCGCGGGGGCGCGCTCCCGACTCTTGCAGCTGTGGCCCGACGGGGGCGGGAGCGCGCGCTCCTGCCTCTGCAGCTGCGGCCCGAGGGGAGCCGGGGTGCAGGGATGCGCGCTCCCGTCCCGAAGGTCGCGGTGAGAGCTGGCTCTGGCCCAAAGCGGGGAGCGGGGAGACGCGGCCGGCTCAGGGCGCCAGGGTGGCCGCTCCGGCTTCTGCCCGAGCCTGCAGGCAGTTCTGCGCACGCAGGGGAGAGGCACCGGGCCGCCCTCCGAGTCTGGATCGTTAGCTTTCTTTAACTGGTGTCTCCTTTTCTCCCTGGCCGGTGCGAAGGAAGGCCTCACTCCCCATGCACATTTGTTCTTGTCCCTTCTGCAAACAAGGTTTAGATGGTTAACTCTGGACTGTAAAGCCACAATTCAGGGTGCCTCACAGTCAGCCCGGAGGCAGGGACTGTTAACAGTTAATTCTAGTGGATTTTAATGACTAATCACTTGCCCAGTGAGCAGGTTTTTTTAAAAAAATCAGGTCTTAGTGTTTGCAGCTGTGGACTCTTAGGTCCACCAGGGGTTGGTTTTCATTACTAAAAAACAAGACCCGTTGCCGTCAAGTGGATTCGACTCATAGGGACGCTGTAGGACAGAACTGCCCTATTAGGGTTTCCAAGGCTGTAATCTTAGGAAGGCGATTGCCACGTGTTTCTCCCAGGGAGCGCTGGAGCAGCTGGTGGGTTCGAGGACCTTTTGGTTAGCAGCAGAGTGCTTAACCGTTGCGCCACCAGGGCTTCTTTGGTTTTCATTAGGTAGGTAAAATAGATTTAAAATTTGCCTGTTGTCGATTAAGATTTAAAGTTAGACTGCTGCTTTTGAGGTTAGTTTGAAGATGCCCCTCTAAGATTCTCACATGTCCCGACCAAGATGAATTTCGTTTTCCTTGTTTTGGGCATTGTAACTCACACTTATGTGTGATAATTAAAAAATTATTGGTAATTCGAAATTTTTGAAAAGCGAATTGCAAATGTGATGTTTTAAAATTGTAAATTAGGATGACTAATAAAATCTGCAAGAACAGTCGTTTTAGCCATAATGTGTTGAAGACGTGATTTTGCTAATCTCTTGATAATCTCTTTATCAGGTATTCGGGTTTTATCAGGAGTCCTTGTGGCGCAGTGGTTAAGAGTTTGGCTGCTAACCAAAAGGTCAGCAGTTCGAATCCACCAGCCGCTCCTTGGAAAACCTATAGGGTCGCTAGGAGTGGGAATCGACGGCAGTGGGTTTGGTGGGTTCAGTTTTATCAGGGTTTTTTTTTTTCCTGAAAGTGTATAAGAATTAAGTTTTTATGTGAGGAAGATTGATCTCCCCTGGGTGAAGCAGGTACTGAATATGAATAGTTCTCATTGGTTATTCTTTCTTAATATATTTTTAAAATTAAAATGGAGATGGCTACCCCATTTCTAGATGCGTTAGCAGTCAGCATGAGCGGCCCCTGTGATCCTGAACTGCCTTATGGCTCCAGGTATCTAACGAGAAGTACAAGATGCAGACCTTTAACCTTTCTAAAAATAAAGCCATTGCTGAATAAAGGTCTGCTTTTCCCGACAACAAAGCCTGAGACTGAGTCTTTAAACAGGAAGAAGAAATAATATTCTGAGCTAAGATTGACTATCAGCTTTAACTTAAACTTTCCTGGCTTTTGTCCAAGTTGTGAAAACCTTCATACTTTTTCAGTAAACTTTTTTTTTAACTTCCTTGTTTTTCTGCCATTTCCTTAAAACCCAAAGGTCAAGCCTGTGAAAAATAAATACTATTTATCAAATAAGTGACTGCAGTTATTTTTGTATATATTTTTCTTTTACATAGAAATTCGAGACATCCTTTTTCAATAAATATTTAGGTATGGATTGTATAATGAAAAATGTAAAACATCCTCACAAGAATACATTTGACAAATACATTTCCTATGATTCTATTTCTGTTGTGACTGAAACAACTAAAGAGAATGCTGGCCACTTGACAACTGTTAACATCTTAAAAGTCCTTTGTCCTCTTAAGAATGCAAAAGCCAAACGAATTTTATTTGAAGAGTTTGTCGCTGTAGCTAAATTCATCACACAGTGGCTGTAATTTTTCAGCATTTGACACATCTCGAAGACTACAAAAATTGATGTTTTAAAAGGGATTAGGCTTTACCAATGGTTTCTAAAAGTTACTTCTGTAAATAATTGTGTCACTTCTAAGGTAAGTAGAAATCATTGCCTTAAAATGCCTTTATATACAGAGAGGTCATCTAGAATACTGACTCTCTGGGACTTGAACAAATTTGAGAGCCAGTGTTCTAGATGACTTCTTTGTGTATAAAAGCACTTTAAGGCAGTGAGTTTTACTTACCTTACCCATTGCCGCTGAGTCAATTCCGACTCATAGCGATCCTGTAGGACCGAGTAGAACTGTCCCACAGGGTTTCCAAGGAGCAGCTGGTGGATTCGAACTGCCGATCTTTTGGTTAGCAGTCGATTGCTTAACCACTTACCTTAGAGGCGACACAAATTATTTACAGAAAGAACTTTTAGAAACCATTGGGTAAAGCCTAATCCTTTTAGAAACATCAATTTTTATAGTCTTTAAGATGTGTCAGATACTAAAAAATTACAGCCACTGGGTGATGAATTTAGGCAAAGTGACAAACTCTTGGTTAGTCTTATTTTCTGGTGTGGTGTTCTCCACTCAAGGTTAAATTTGAGAAAATGGAGCACTGTAGAGCATAGTATATGGCTGCTCACTAGTGCAAGTTGTAGAGAGCATGCTAGTCAGAACGTTGTTGGTTTTCTTTGCTTTCTGGTATTTAATCTTTAGAAGCCCCTCATTGATCTATACTGTTTTGGATTGGATTGGATTTGGGATTGGGTTGTATCATAATCTCTTTGTATTGGATTCCTGCATTCTAAAGAAAGAATAAGCTTGGTTGCAGTACAGTTATGCTGTAGATCAATTCTTATATTATACGTCTGCTTTGGTCTTTGTACCCTGGTCTCTGTTCCTTGCCCTTACCTTTTGGTTGATAAGTATTACCTAAAAACCCTGCAAAAAATGCCGAAGTGAGTTGCCTTGCCCTTCTACTTCTTGAAGTATATTCTAGACCAGATCATCATGAGATTCTATTCCAATTTGCCCTTAAATCTTTTTTTTTTTCCTTAGTAATAATTTGAATTTATTTTAGTATCAATCTTGGAATTCTTGTTTGGTTCTAATCATAGTCAGCCATACTGCACAGAGTCTGAAATTGAATCTGAATCCAGTATTTGTGACCATAGTCAGGCACAGAATTAAAAAAACAGTTGCCATTGATTCCGACTCATGGCAGCCCCATGTGTGTCAGAGTAGAATTGTGCTCCATATGCTCCATAGGATTTTCAGTGGCTTGATTTTTCAGTAGTAGATTACCAGGCCTTTCTTCCAAGGCACCTCCGGGTGGACTCCAACCGCCAAGCTTTCGATTAGCAGCCAGACACACACATTAACCATTTGTACCACCCAGAGACAGGTACAGAACAGGCTCTCCATAAATGCTTCTTGAATTAACCTGAGTCCCTTCATTGGCTCAGGATCGTTTTGCCATTGGGAAGAATCACTTGGCCAAGATTAGCAATCTCCTAATTAGACCAAGTCAAAATATTCTTTATCAAGAGTATACAAGTTAGACTGACTTCTGAAAGTAAGGAAACATGAAAGATGACGTTCACCTCACGATCATAGCACAATCTGGGTGTGGAGATGTGTGTGTACATACGTGTGTTTGTGTACATACTTGGTTTTGGGGGTCAACTTTGAATTTGTGTGAACTTGTTAAGTTCTCCTTATAGATATCTGGGCCAGAAACCAGAACCACTTGTGTTTAAATATGATTGCTATTCTGTGCACAGATCAGGGTTCTGGTATTTTAAGCATTCCTCTTCTTACCTTCTACCAAAAAAAAAAAAAAAAAAGTAGTGGTGCTGAATTAGTTGGTTTCTGCAGGCATTAAGTCTATAAAGTTCAACAAAGCAGAAGAAATTTATGTTTATAAAAGATAAATAATTATTTGATAGCTTGGAGATTCTAAAAAGATAATCTAAATAACTAAGGATTTTTTAAAAAATGGATTGTTTTTCTAAGCTACCTAGAATGCTTGAGAATTCCTCAAATTGATTCCATAGTTATATAATACATTGTGACTAAACTGCTTATTACTTTGGGTAATATTGATAGACCAACTCTTAGAATTATTTAATGGCCCCAAACTTGGATGAAACATCAATTACTAGAACCTCTTCAAATAGCCAATGCAGAATTATCTCAGGGTGTGGATTTTCTCTTCTCAGTGCCACCATTAGCGTGCTGTTGCCACGAATATTTGTTTACTCATCTTTCACTCAAGAAATCTTAACTGTAGGATAAAATTGCCAAGGATGTTTATAAATAAGGAACTGAATTTGTATGTAAAATGGCATAAAATTATTAATTTGCTTTAAGGAAGTGTTATTCAGTACTGATTTTATATGCCAAAGTGACCTTCTAGTCAGAAAGTGGGATGTACTAAAAACCATTTTCAGCTTGTTAATAAATGGTGCCAATTGTACATGAACTGATTACTCTAGTATCTGATGTATATGTTGCTGTTCTCCATTTATTTTAGGTGTGGAAATTAAAAGAACAAAAATACTTTGGCTGGGGCTTTGATCAAGCAAATGCTAAAAAGGTATTATATTTATATTTACCAACTAAGCATTGTTATTAGAGAACTTAAACCATTTCCCTTTAAAGCAGGGGTCAGAGTAATAAGGAACAAGTTTTATCTGTAAAGATCATAGAGAAAGGCAATGTCACAGTCATTTCAGTTACCAAATAAAGTGTTCATCCACTCCTTTCTGCTCCTGCCTGATATCATCAGTCCCTACTCTGCATTTTTCTCTGGTCTTCTTTTGTTAGTTGAAATGTCTCATTATCCATTATTTATTGAGCAAATTCTCTGGGTTAGACACTAGAAACGCCAGACTAGGTTATTATCATCACTCATGTTTGTGGTACGTAGACCAAAAACATGTAATTTTAAATCTACTTAGCAGTTAGAAACTAGGCCGACAGCAGTTATGAGTTCTGCAGTTGGAAATAAATGCCAGAGTACTCTTAACTAGCAGAGTATTTCCGTTGAGAAAGGTCATTCCTTTCAAGTGAGAGTATAGCTCCAAGAATAAAGCTTTTGAAGAAACGAGGGAGAGAAAGAAGGGGATACTCGTTTTTCTAGCCAAATCTTGTGAGTTTGGCAGTCATTGACACGTCAGTCTTACCACACTGCATCCAATAACTTACCTAGATCCCACTGTCAATCTTTATATTTCTTTTCGAACGAACATTTTCCTGCTTGCTTTATCCAGAGATGACTAGTTAGTTGCTTACTTTCTCCTGATGAAAATAATCATGCTTTGATAGTTGCAGATTTTTTAGAAAAATTTATTCTGTAATCTTATGTTTTATTTGCTTGATTGTGTATAAATTCACTTCAACGTAGATTATAATGTCTTGACCTTATAAACTTCACATTTTTAAGCATTACCAATTAAAATAAAATACTTTTGTTTGTGCAAAATGGGAAATCAATTATATTAATACTTAACTCACACAATATGCTAACCCCAAATTTATCTAACAAATACTAGGTATAGTAAGATTATTGGACACAAAGCAGATACCCTTTCATATATGTTTTCCTACTTGTCCATTTTAGCTAAAAGGGAGATTCTTAGTTCTTGCAATATGTTATTTTGTTTTGCATTCTGAACATACTTGCATTTAAATATTGAAAAACTGGAAATTTATGCAGGCCGAAGTTTCAAGATTTTTGTTGTAATGCCAGTAATTACATCACTAGTCAAAATCACAATAGTTTATGAATTTTTAAAACCTGAAATGCAATAAGAATTTGAATTAGGTAAGCTTTCTTGAAGAGTAAGTTCTTGATTTGTGAAGCTGATTTATGGCTAATTTAACTATAATTTTAATCTAGTTTAGTGAAGCTTTAAAATTAAAATATGAACTGTAATCTGCCTCTTACAGTTTGTTTATTATAATTGAAATATTCCTTTTTTTTCTTTGATAACTGATATCACATGCCTTGAACTTTTTGCAGTTTCAACAACAACAAAAAGTTGACATCCAGGCCCAGTAGTGATCTATCTTGTTATGGGAGTTTCTGTGTATAGACCTGTTAAAGAGATAACTTCAAATTAAAAACATAGTTCATACACGTGCTACTGCTTATGTATCGGAGCTTGGAATTTGGAAGTGGTTATATTCATCATAAATGGATTTTTTAATTTTAACTTGTGTGTGTGTGCGTGCCGGCACGCATGCACATGCATGCACGTCCAACCATAATCTAAGAAGTTGGAAGGCCTGTAAGGAAGCAAACATGAACTCTCTAAGTAATCAGAAAAATGTTAAAAAGAAAATGAGAAGAACCCCTCCTTTCCTTAGTGATAATTTTTTAAAGCTAATGATAAAATATTTTAAACTCAAACATATTTTTATTCATTCAGGTGTTGAAATTAACAAGATACTTCCAACTCTGTAGTGCGTATGGGAATTAGGATATCTGAGTCATTGGGGTATTTGAACAGGAGCCCTCGTGGGGCAGTGGCTAAAGCGCTCAGCTGCTAACCGAAAGGTCAGTGGTTCAAACTCGCCAGCCACTCCACAGGAGAAAAATGTGGCAGTCATTTCCGTAAAGATTTACAGCCTTGGAAACCCTGTGGGGCAGTTCTGTTCTGTCCAGTAGGGTTACTATGAGGCAGAATTGACTTGACAGCAGTGGGTTTGGTTTTTGGGGGGTATTTGAGAAAAGGGGACACATAAGAATAAACAATGGTATGAAATAGAGAATATATATATAATAGAATGAGCTGCTTCTCGATTTTGATATTACACATTTTCTTTCCTTTTGTGTCACTAAAGGACTTAGAAAATGAGGTGCAATTTAATAGGTGACAAGGTATATAAAAATACAATCTTAAATTAAGATTGTTAACATTGAAGTTTCGATTTGGTTTGTGAGTTGGAGAGTAGGCCGGCATCCCATTTTTGCATGATCTCTGCTATCCTTAGGCTTTCTTCTTTTTGCTGCCATGCTTAGACTTAAACGTCTGACTAGTGAAATATTTCAGAAAGAGGATGAGACCTTTACAAGGGTTGTATATGCGATTTTGAGGGCATGGGATAGTTGAGGGTTACTGTGAGGGCTGTTTAGCCAGTTACACATACATTTTGGATCATGTATCAACTTACGGAGATACAGAAAGAGGGTAGAAGACTTCCTTAAAGTTAAAGGTAGGATTGATGGCTATACCGAGTGCCTCAGTCTATTAGTTACTTATAGTCAGTTCTGAGGTAGCTTTAGGGGTGTTTCTTAATTAGTGAAAGGGAGCAGGGCACAGATACCATGCATTTAAAAAATCTAAACACGAAGTACTACATAATTATAGTGGACATTTTGGGGAAGAATAGAGAAAAACAGAAGGGAACAAAAATATCACTTAACATTTTGGCTTATGTACCTCCTTTTTTTCTGTTCTTGATGCACCGATACATAAAAATTTTGTTTTCTTAGCATGTTTTGTGATCGGCTTTTTTACTTAATATTTGGTTAGTACTTCCCCATATCATTAAACAGTCTACATAGTTTTGCAACCGTGTTCTATCCTGAAGATGTACTGAGGTTTCATCTCTTATTTTAGGGCATTTAGGTTGTTTTAAGTATTTTCTACTAATACTACGTTGAGCAGCTCTGTAGATAAATCGTTCCACGTATTTCTGATTATTTCTTAGGATAGACTGGTAGAAAGGGATTTGATGGTCAAATAATATTCATATGTTTAAAGGTTATTGATAGATATAGGGAAATTCCTCTCTAGCAACACTATATTAAGATAATAACCATTTATATAAGGCTTCTGAATGTAGTCAAATTCTGTGTCTTAGACATTCTGATATAACTGCAGTCAGTAGTATGAAACCCAGCTGTGTAAATGAGAAGGAGCATTATTAGTAATTCACAAAGTAGAATTCGGCTGAGAACCTAAGGAGTACTATTGCAAATTACCCATAATGTTGTAATTTTGGAAATACAGATTTTTATTTGTCAATTTTGATTAAAATGAGATAGTGCTCTAGGATACTGTATGGGGTGTATTAATCGTGATTTTGTTGTGTTTATATCAAAAATCAAATTCTTTAATTTGAATACTGAATTTTTTACAATTTGAAAATGTGTTCTTTTTTTACTTTTAGCAACATAAGGAAGATCCTTAACAGTCATTTCTCAACAATTATATAGTCAACTAATGTAACAATGGTACTAATATTGGGACGCAGACTAAACAGAGAGGATCTTGGAGTGCGTGACTCCCCAGCAACTAAGCGTAAAGTTTTTGAAATGGACCCTAAATCTCTGACAGGTCGTGAGTTTTTTGACTTCTCTTCAGGATCATCCCATGCTGAAAACATACTTCAGATATTCAATGAATTCCGAGATAGCCGCTTGTTCACAGATGTTATCATTTGTGTGGAAGGAAGAGAATTTCCTTGCCATCGTGCCGTTCTATCAGCCTGTAGTAGCTACTTCAGAGCTATGTTTTGTAATGACCACAGGGAAAGTCGAGAAATGTTGGTTGAGATCAATGGTATTTTAGCTGAAGCTATGGAGTGTTTTTTGCAGTATGTTTATACTGGAAAGGTGAAGATCACTACAGAGAACGTACAGTATCTCTTTGAAACATCAAGCCTCTTTCAGATTAGTGTTCTCCGTGATGCATGTGCCAAGTTCTTGGAGGAGCAACTTGATCCTTGTAATTGCTTAGGAATCCAGCGTTTTGCTGATACCCATTCACTCAAAACACTCTTCACAAAATGCAAGAATTTTGCTTTGCAGACTTTTGAAGATGTATCCCAACATGAAGAATTTCTTGAGCTTGGCAAAGATGAACTCATTGATTATATCTGTAGCGATGAACTTGTTATCGGTAAAGAGGAGATGGTTTTTGAAGCCGTCATGCGTTGGGTATACCGTGCTGTTGATCTGAGAAGACCACTGTTACATGAGCTCCTGACACATGTGAGACTCCCTCTGTTGCATCCCAACTACTTTGTTCAAACAGTTGAGGTGGACCAATTGATCCAGAATTCTCCTGAGTGTTACCAGTTGTTACATGAAGCAAGACGGTATCACATACTTGGGAATGAAATGATGTCCCCAAGGACTAGGCCACGCAGGTGAGAAGACTGTTTACTAATACAATTTAGTTAAGAAAAGTTTTTGTTTTTAAAATATATTTAAACTTCCTGAATGTAAACTGAGTGTAGTCATTTGTATGTGTAGTCTACATGTGGCTTTATATAATTTAAGAATTGTTTTGGATTATGTAAATCATAAGACTGTCTCTCCCATTGAAGACTAGGTTCATTCAGCAATAGCGTTTTTTGTTATTATTGTTCTGAGCCATCAGAGGAGGTTCACTACTATGCATGTGAAGATATTTCTACCAATTTTTGTTAACCTTTGTAGAGTCACACAACATTCTGCTTTTCTTTCCAGAGGGTCGTTCGGACACAGTGTGGCTAAAGGCTTTGGTAGGCTCTCTTGAGCTACCTCTGCTTGTAAAAAACAGTTAGCACATTCACAGACTGACCTTTATCTAAAGCAGAGAACATGTAATACAGAGGTGAAGTAAATAAGTTGTTATAGATTCAGTTAATTCTTGAGTATAAAACCCAAGCCTCGAATCGTTTTTCATTGCCACAGTTACTATATCCAATGTCAGTCTCAATTTTTTAATCTTTTTTTTCCAGTTATAAAAATTACATCAACATTATAGAGAATTTAGATAATTCATGTTTAGGAAGTAGGAATGCAATTAAATGTTGTACTGTATTTGATATCTTCTTACAGTGGATTCTTCTGTAAGACAGTGTCTTAGGTATCTAGTGCTGCTATAACAGAAGTACCACAAGTGAATGGCTTCAACAAATAGAAGTTTATTTTCTGACAGTCTAGTAGGCTAGAAGTCCAATTTAGGACGTCAGCTCCAGGGGAAGGCTTTCTTTCTCTGTCAGCTCTGGAGGAAAGTCCTTGTAATCCGTCTTCCCCAGTCGAGGAGTTTCTCAGCACAGGGACCCTGGGTCCAAAGGACATGCTGTTCTCCTGGCTCTTGTTTTTCTTGGTATGATGTCCCTGTGTCTCTCTGCTTGCTTCTCTCTTTTCTATATCAAAAGAGATTTGCTCACGACAATCCAATCTTGTAGATTGAGTCCTGCCTCATTAACATAACTGCTGCTAATCCCACCTCATAAACATCATGGAGATAGGATTTACAACCCAGGAAAATCACATCAGATGACAAAATGATGGACAGTCACACAATACTGGAAATCATGGCCCAGCCAAGTTGATACACATATTTTGGGGGGACACAATTCAATCCATGACATTCCACCCTTTGGCCCCCAAAATTCATGTCGTTGCCACATGTAAAACACATTCACCGCATGACATCGTAGCAAAAGTCTTAAATCAACTCCAAGTCCAAAATCCAAAAATTTTTCTTCATCTGTGAAATCTAGACTACAAGTTATCAACTTTCAAAGTACGGTGGTAGAACAGGCCCAAGCTAGACGTTTCCATTACATATAGAAGAAATTGGAGGAGAAGAAGGGATAACAGGTACCAAGCAAGTCAGCAAAACACATTACATTAGCTCTCAAGGCTTTGAAAATAATCCTCTGTTCTCTGAGACCATTTACACAATGACCCTGCCCTCCAGACTGTGTGTATTGGCCACACTCTCCCTGAGTGGAGGCCTCTGGCCTTGAGCTTCAGCTCCACCTTCCAGGCCCACTGGGATGGCAACTCTGCTCCCTCGGCTTTAGGTGCACCGGTCTCCTAGTCCATCTGAGTGGTGACTCCACCCTTAGAAACTCTAGAGGCCATAGCTCCACCCTTTGAGACACCAGAAGCTATGGCCATGCCCTTTGAGACTGAGGCAGCTTGGCTTCCTGTGTTCCTTGTCTCTTCAGCTTCTGCTTCCTGGTTCATTGGTCTCTCAGGTCTCTCCACCTGCATCTGCCCTGCTGGGGTTTAAGTGTTCCAAAGCTTTGTAGCTCCACCTGTAAGTGCCTGGAGGCGCCCCACTCCGCCAGTTCAGCCAGAAGGCACTCAGCTGTCTCGCTCCATGGGTCTATTCCAGCGCTGTATCACGCTGGTCTCCTGGTTCTGCTGTTGCCAGTCCTCTGCTCCTGCTTCTTGCTGTCTGCGTTGTCTCCATTGTAACAGCTCTCCTCATTTCCTTCTGAGTCCTCTATCCATTCACAGTTTCAGACCACCTCCACATTTTAGGTATTTGTTAGAGCAGCATGCCATTCCCAGTGCCAAATTCTGTCTTAGATATATAGTGCTGCTGTAACAGAAATACCACAAGTGAATGGCTTTAACAAAGAGAAATTTACTGTCTCACAGTCGAGTAGGCTAGAAGTCCAATTCAGGACATCAGCTCCAGGGGAAGTCTTTCTCTCTCTGTCGGCTCTGGAGGAACGTCCTTGTCATCAATCTTCCCCAGTCAAGGAGCTTCTCAGCGCAGGGACCCCAGGTCCAAAGGACGCGCTATTCTCCTGGCTCTTGTTTTTTGGTGGTATGAGGTTCCATGTCTGTCTGCTTGCTTCTCTCTTTTATATCTCAAAAGAGATTTGCTCAGGACACAATCCAATCTTGTAGATTGAGTCCTGCCTCATTAACATAACTGTCACTAATCCCATCTCATTAACATCATGAAGGTAAGATTTACAACACATGAAAATCACATCAGATGACAAAATGATGGACAGCACCCAATACTGGGAATCATAGCCTAGCCAAGTTGATACACATATTTTTGGGGGATGCAATTCAACCCATGACAGACAACTATTGATTTTAATTCATAAACTATAGAAAAATAATTTCCATGTATTAATAATGGGAGAAATAATATTAAACATACTTTACTGTGAATAAGATGAAATGACTGTTGGGAGAAACTAATATTTTTCTAACAAAGCTAACTTTATTTTCCCATATCATTTCTTTCCACTTTTCCTATAAATTTACTATAGCATAGCACATTTTTAGTTTACTGTGATTTTGAATATCATTGTTTGGGAATGTGATTAAAATTCAGCATATTGTGAGAGGGCTTTTTAAAAATCTGCACTAGCTTGGATATAGCAAGATTTAAGCTGCTTCCTCATGTAAAATAAGAATGGTGATAAATAGAAATAGAACCTACTTAACAGGGTGTTGCCATTGAAATGATTAAATGCAGACAGTAATCCTTACGTACTCAGCATAATGGCTGATGCATAGAAAGTACTTAATAATTATTAGGTATTATTATTTATATAGTACAGTGTAAGTCTGATTTACTTTAAGAAAACTCCCAGTAGTTGACAGTCTGAAGTTTTTATAAATTAGATATATTATTGGATAACTACTGTTACAAAAAGATTAACGTATTTTATATTAGGGGTAGAGTGCATTTTTTCCTTCAATATCAGCTGACTAGTTAAAAGTAACTTTCATGAGAGAGAAATAGAAAATATTTTTACTGCTCTAGTCTTTTAACCAAGGGTAAAAAACATACAGTTTTTTTCTATAAATATACTGATGATCTTTTTTTAAGTTCTTATCTTTTTAATAACTGTTAAGGGACTTGGGCTGAGCTTGTCAATGTGAGATACCAAGGTTTCTGAGTGTATTAATCAAGAAAGTTAAATAGCTTTGGGGCTATGTGATTATTAGCTCTTCTAAAACTTTTTCCCTCCAGGGGAAAAATCACTCATTTTTCCAAACAGAGTCCCCTTATAACAGAGAAAATGGTCTGGGGTCAAATAGGATTAATAATACCCATCCTGTGTGTCTCATACGATTAGAATAGCAATCAAGGGATATATGTTGTAAAATCAAAGCAAGTCATTTACTGTTTTTTTGTTTTTTTTAATGAAGACGTGACCTCAGTGAAATCAGATTGCAGCCTAAAGGTCCCTTATCACTCCTTTGAATAGATTATTTTCCTGATTTGCTTATTGATTTGATTTACAAAAATTTATTTTATATCCAATTTTTAAAAGAACAAACTCATTTCATGCAATAAAATATATCTGTATCACCTTTCTTTAGGAAGCAAGTAGAAAAAACAACTACTGTTGAATTTGCTAATTATGGTAAAATAGAATGGCAGATAATTCTTTAACGTAGGCATGACATGAGGAATATAAAGAGGAGTCCTTTATTATACAACTCTGCCGTCACCTTCTGTCTCTTATGATTCTATCTCTCACTTATCTGTTACTGCATGCTAGCATTGAATTTCATTATCTGAACACTGTGTATTAATTGTACAGGTTCTCATCTTTCTAAGAAACTCCAAACCTCTTTGAAAGAGGAGTGATGTGTCCCTTCTTCAACTGCAGTTCACTCCTGTGACTTCTGCTCCTGTCACTCTACTGAAACGACTCCCAGTCAGGTCGTCACTGACCTCCTGTTTATCACTTGTTAGCCTCTTTTCGGTCTTTATCCCGTTTGATCTCCTTAAGATTCGACATTATTAATTGCTTCATCCCCCTTGAAACTCTCTCCTCCGTTGGCTTCTGGATTACCATTCTCCTGATGGTGCTCCTGCTTCTCTCCAGCGGCCCCTTTTCAATTTGATGGTTCTTCCTCCTATATCTGGTCTTCGCAATATTGATAATCCCCTTGGTTCTCATCTTTGTCTTGTCTTAGGTGAGCTCATCTATTCTCATGGTTTTAATTACCATGTGTGCTATAGTGACTTATCAAGTCTATATCTCCAGCCCAGCATTTTTCTTTTTCATTCATTCATTCAGCCAGTATCTTTTTGTAGTTTGTATACTTTTTTTTTTTACTTGTGTTTGCATCTTTAAAAATAACATTATCACACTTAAAGTAGGTAATAATAATTCTTTCATATTACCTGATATCCAACCTGTATTCACATTTGTCCAGTCTTTTCCAAACTGTTCTCCAGTGAACCTGGATCCAGTCCAGGACCATACATCACATCTAGTTGTTTTCATTACATCTCTTTTATTCCAAAACAGTTTCTTTTTCATGATTCTGACTTGTTGATAGGCACGTTGTCAAGAAAAATGTTCCTCTTTCTGAATTAGCATGTTTGCTTCCTTATAGTATCATAATGAATTTAGCTGTGTTTCCTGGGAACTGG